TACACAAACCAATTAAAACTATGAACGAAGAAAGATAACTCGAAAAGACTCATTTTAATGTATTGAATGCCCCAGTCCATAGGCTTACATGCAAAGCAGTTGATTTTAGAAAAAATATATTTTAGATTAAATGATGTATAGAATTTTTTCGTGTACATATCATGTAAATAGTAATGTGATACTGTGATAAACTGAGAAAACGTGCAACGAGCCACGAAGATTACAAAGAATTGAAACCTTGAAGTTAAAACTACTTTTTTCGACTTTCTGTTTGCTATTTTCAATAGTCGTTTCGGTTTACATGATATAATTCCCATTATCTCGTTCGATTTTCGCAAAAAGATGCAATATTTTTTTACATTCAGATATATGTTTCAATTCAGCATAAACTTTTAATTTAATCAAACAGAAAACATGGAGTCTAGATATAAAATCTGAAAAATGTACCGTTTTATTTTCCTCCATGTTTTAACTCATGCCTTCTTTGTTATGGAAGACACCATCAATATTGTGTTATCTGTTTTCCAGAGTTGAGCTGTTTGAAGTGTTTATAGAAATGGATTTCTCTAAATTAGCTGACTGTGGCCCATGCCTTCGAGACAATAAGAAGAAACTGTCAAGTGTTTGGTGTATCGAATGCGCAGAGCCTCTCTGTCTTGCTTGCGAGAAAGTACATAATCTTCTGAAAATGACCAGTGAACATCATTTGGTTGAAAATCAGAAAAGTAGTTCGGACTCAATTTCGTACGACGACATTTCAGATTTACAAAACTGTCACATTCATCAACATGCCATTATAGATAGGTTTTGTAACAATCATAGTGCACTGTGCTGTCAGTGTTGTATGTCAGAGACTCACTTTGATTGTAAAAGTGTGGAATCCATTGACACAGTGGCAAAGAACATCAAGACGTCCTTAAAATTAGAAAATACAACTTTACACGTGAACAGTTTGATTCAATTGTTAACTGAAATTCGAAATGACAAACGCAGTAATATTGGAAACTTTCAGCATTCCGAAATGGAAGTGAAGAAAAAAATTGAGGCGGTGAAGATTAGCATGATTATCAGAATTAAAGAAATGGCAGAATCTTTAACTTCCGAACTGCAAAATGTGAAGAAAACGAAAATTTTGGAGCTGGAAAAGCAAGCCAAAGAAACAGAACAGCAGATAAATAAACTAGAACTGAAGAAAAAGATGATCGACTTATTTAACCAAAAAGGGTCGGAAACGCATACTTTTCTTTTATTGCAAAGACTAAAATCAGAACTTGCAACGGAGGAAAATCTAATAAGAAAAAATATTGAGGAATGCAGTAACACGTACCTTAGTTTCAATGATGGGGATGATATAATGTCTCTCCCAAAAGCTCTTGGTAAAATTGACATTATATCAGAACCGGCGGTTGTAAAGTATAAACCTTCTCCCAAAATAAAACGGCGACAAGACAAAACAGATAGTGCATCACCAGTATCACATATTAAATCTTTTAAATTGTGTTCTGAATTCGATATAGATTTTGAGAAGGGATTCGTCTCAGGTATATGTATTAATGAAGATGACGTAATTCTGCTTTGCTTACGTGGGACAGATAAATTATTAATGTATGATTTGGAAGGAAAACCTAATGGAGAACTAGTGGTGAGTGGAAACCCTTTCGATGTGTCTTGTGTACCAGAAACTGACAAAGCAGTTGTAGCATTACCAGATTCGTCTACATTACAGATGGTTGATATTGATATGAAAGACCCAGAAAATATTATCCAAATGCCTGAAAGTTGCTGGTCGGTAACTACAGTTGAGAATAAATTAATTATTGCTGGTGGTTTTAAAAGCTTGTATGTGATAGATATTGGAGGTGAAAAACTCGAAGAAATTACGAAGCCAGAATATGGACGGACATATTCTTTGACATTCGCAGCCGACAAATTCTTTTACTGTTCCGATGTCGACTTTAAAAATGAAAAGGTTTATTGTATAACTGAAGAAGGCAAGTTTGTTTTCTGTTATTCAAATGCGAATCTAAAAACTCCGACAGAGCTAGCCGTTGATCTAACCGGCAATGTTTACATCACAGATTTAGACTCCCACAATGTACATCGATGTTCTCCATCAGGGGATTTTCTCGACGTCCCATTAAAGGGGAGTGACGTAACGGAACCAAGATCTATTTGCTTTAACAGAGGATCAAATCATCTCGCATTATCTAATAACAGTGGAAAAAGCATTTGTGTTTATAAAAGCATTGTATAAGTAATGTGAAATAAAATGAATAACGCATTATATACCTTATAGCCAGTTTTAGACACTTGCTTGTTGTTGGAGATAGTATAATAGATGACCTCTACGTTTTTATTGTTTTTGGGTCGTTAAATTGCTGTCTTATTTAAATACATACTCCACTTGATTTTTATTCATTCTCATAAATATACCTTGTAGTGGAGCACATGTATACAAGATTCGCAATGCGAATCAATTTTTCTTGTGTTTGTATAAGAACAACTCAACTTTTCCTTGAATTAAAAAAATACACAAACAGTTAAGTTCCAATGAACCCCTAGTATTGAAAATTCGTGAATAAATCAAAGACAAAATATCAAAGATCTCAAATGCGCTAAAACACAGAAAAAGTTTAGATCTAACAAAAGACAATCTCTGGTGATGTACCTTACTGAACAGTCATATACACGTGTTTGTGGGTTAAAATAGTTTTCTGAGCACTAAGCCCTCTACCTTTTTAATCTCGATGTATGGAATATAATATACATAAAAAAAAACCCGCACAATAACTAGAGTCTCAAAGAACCCTGTATCGTTTACTTGTTATGTTTTGCATAAAATTAATATACAATTATCTTCACTGAAGGGCAACGCCTCCCATAAGGGATCCACTGAAGATTAAGACCATGTTGACTTATCATAAACCACGAAACAAAGTTCCGTCGCGTATAATGTTTTTAACCCGTCCGTCTGTCCGTCAGTTCGTCCGTCATTCCGCCCGTCCGTCCTTGAACTTAGAATTTTGGCCTAAATATACTACTGCAACAGTTCGTCATCGCAACTCCTCTGAAACAACACAACAGAATTTCATGAAAATTTGTAGATTATAAGGACATGATATGTAGATGCGCATATCCACAGGAATTTTTTATCTGTTGACTTTTGCAGTTTGAACTTGGGAATCTGGTGAGGTTGTTTGCACAGTGAAAATGTGGGCGTGGTGAATGTGAGCATGCTCACAAAGGTTCTTTAATTTGTATACTTTTTCAAGCTAATCAGTTTTGCTGTTGCAAGTTTCTTTCTTTCGAATATCGGTTTCAAGATTATAGCAAACAAGAAATCAACACAAAATGGGGAAATTAGACGTTAACTGATGATCATATGTCATATATCCATTCAGAAGATACAGATCGAAGTAAAAAAGAAACAAATACCGATCCAACGACTTTTCTGTTATCTACAGATATATAAGACAGCGAAAACATGTCGCTAGTGAATAGAGACACAGGCACATCGTATCGGTCAACCCAATTCGTGATGATGACCGTAAAACGTATGCAGTGTCGACTTCAGTCGTGCTTCCTGGTAACTCTTTAAGGCAGTTTTTATGTCAGGAGCACACCCCTGTTAATAAAGTGTAACCTATTAATTTAAATGAGAAATCAGTAAACGCAAAACGATGGGATAGAAGGTATGCTGTAGCTGATAAACTTAATATAAAAATAAGATGTTAGCAACCAAATGACGTAGATGTGAGCATTGTGGTACAAGGTGTAAATTGTTGACGGTACGATTGGTGTATGGAAAGTGGGGAATGTCTGCTGCATTGTTATGCACAGATTAAAATGGTTTAATTTTATTACTTATCAACATTCAAGTTTCTTTTTTAGGAACGTATCAAATTTGTTAACATCTAAGTCATTTGGTCTCTGGTGGAGAGTTGTCTCATTGGCAATCATACCATATCTTTTTATATTTATATTCGTTGCAAACAAATTGAAGTATGGATATTTATAATTAGTTCAAAAGATGTAAAGTGTATTATTCTGTATAAAATGATGATTGAATGGAAAATAGTTTAACTAGGAATGATATTATAGTGAACATTATAACTGATAAGTTTACATGACTTAACTAATAATTTCTGACCATCATGGTTCTCTTGAGGTGTAGGCAATGTCTTGATCATATTATGTTACTTATGGTCAAGCCAATATAAGTAAACTTGAACTGATAGACAACTGATTAGTGGAGTTATTATATTTTATAGATAACACGTTTAAGATAAGGATTTTTCTAATTTGATGAGTAATTTACACATAATCGTTTAAGAGAGCCAAAAGATACCAAAGGGACATTCAAACTCATAAGTCGAAAATAAACTGTCAACGCTATGGCTAAAAAGGAAAAAGAACAGTTCACAAAATACAACATAGAAAACTAGAAGACTGAGCAACACGAACCCGAACAAAAACTGGGGGTGATCTCCGGTGCTTCGGAAGGGTAAGCAGATCCTGCTCCACATGTGGCATCCGTCGTGTTGCTCCTGTAAGTACAAACCCGGTGATAAGTCTAATTCGGTAAATCATATTCGAAGAAAAAGGAATGGGATTGTAATTTCGATAATTGCAACATATTCGTCGTCATCTGTGAAACAGATATTCCATAACGGTCAACCAACTCGTGATGGTTAAACTTTTAATGATATTACCTGAAACTAGATTGACTTTGTTTAAGCAAATGATAGCGTCTCGAATCTGTGTTAGTGGTAAGTATGCTATCTTGACACGGACAAAAGTGGTCACTATCTCGAGGTTATTGTAATGTGTTACTTCCGATGTTTTCCCTGTCATTAATGTATTTACGTGTTAAACTCAACTTCGTATGCCCATGATATTCCTATGTTCTATAATCTGTGTGCAATACATCAAATTGTTTTGAAAACAATAATCTGTGTTTCATATTCTAATTTTTTCTAAAGTTTTATTTTTCAACTTACTAATACATATTCCTTTTATTTATAAATAAATACAGATATATTTAAACATACATAAAATGAGTTCATTTATGCATAAAAGAGCAAGTTATTATATAAAAAAAATATCACTAAACATATTGGACCTGCCAAGTTTGTTTCATCAGATTATTCATAGTAAGCCAATAAGACAGGTTTCCTTCTTTTATAGATATTTTGTCACATGATTTATCCCTCCCCAGACACATTCTGGGTATATGTATAACTTGTGTACACGTGAAGCAAAAGCCTCCTGGCTGCTGCAAATCTTATTAGACTAATGCTTGGTGGACATTTAACTTGTGCACACGTGACGTAATAGCACCATCTTATCAAGATTAAAGCAACTGAATCTACTTTTAAACCATAAGCCCTCTTATAGCGTTATAAACGACTAGAATATGACGAAATCTACCGTAAAATAGGACAATATTCAAGAAACTTAATTCTAATCTCAAGACTCCACATGATGTCTATTAGGTAAACACTTTTACAATGGTCTTATTTGGTTACGATCCAAGCGCAACACTAAGTATTTGTGGTTTGATGTGTTGTATTCAGACACAACGCTCGCTGGCTTCATATCGCTATTCGTCGAGTAAGTAGACCCTTCAACGACATCAAAGCGAGGCTTATCAGCTGTGACGTAATGCTCCGAAACTGGTGATTTTTCGGTTGTTGTTACGTATCGAGCATTCTCAACAAATCGATGTTCACCTCTTGGCACTGTATAAAAATATTCATCGTAGTAAGCTATTTCCCATTCGTAGAACCGGTAAACCTCCTTGTAAACGTAGTAAATAATAATTCCGTAAATCAAAAATATGATCTCAAAAATGGCCAGTAAACTTGCAGCAACATGCATGACGATCTGAACGTCATAATTATACCCACATTTTAGAATTGTCTGGTTTTTTTCGTATTTCCATGTTCCACATCGAACTGCTCCATGTATCGTAAAACCAAGCGAAATAAGACATAATATTATCGCAATAATAGCTGATATGATATATGTCAAAAGCTGAAAAAGATAAGGTAAGCACTGATAAATATTTAATATTCATTTGTTGAAAACATGCATGGTTACCCCATTAAAGCGCTTGTAAACCAAAATATAAGCAAATAGTTAGTATATTTATGAAAATATAACGTTCAGTGGACACAATTTATCACTGGGAAGATATAACAAGTAATACCAATATATAAAACACCTTACATTATAAATATTTCCATTCTACATTATTTCTAAGTCAACCAGGACTATAACAGACCTTTTTGTCGTAGCTTTCCTTATTCAGAATACCTTTTTGTCATAGCTTTCCTTATTCAAAATACCTTTTTGTCATAGCTTTCCTTATTCGGAATACCTTTTTGTCGTAACTTTCCTTATTCGGAAAACCTTTTTGTCGTAGCTTTCCTTATTCGGAATACCTTTTTGTCGTAGCTTTCCTTATTTGGAATACAAACTTTATTAAACATAACTGATCGATTCCTTAAGCCAGTTTTTTGGAAAGAGCGTTCATCAATGTCATATCATCAATGTCATATCATCGATGTCATATCGATTATTAGGAGCATAGTTGCATCATTTTATCTAAAAAGTCCACTGCATTTATCTCATGAAGATCGTTTGTTTCAATATTGAGTATTACACATTATTAGTTTATGCACCTCTATGGGAAGTGAAAATTACATTAACCATGTTTTTCGTATAAAATTACCAAATGCTTTTCCATACTTGTTCTGTTTTTGCTCTCGCCCTTTTTTCATTATATAATATTTTCTGTCGAATATACAACATGACTAGAAATTACTCACCCATGAAAAAAGCTTGTTACTGTCTCCTTCATCGAAAAAATGTGGGTTATAACAACCAACAATAAAGGCAAACACACACACTATCAAAACCTAAAAAAAATATTTTTGCTTAACCATTTTTATTTAGTTAAATGGCAAATTCTTTTCAAAGTATATAAAGTACACACAGATTCATTCAGGACAAAAAAAATTTTCAACTAAAGTTTTCAATATTAAAAACAAAACGAATAAAATTATTATAACACTTAAGACGCATTATGACACTGTTGGAGAGAAGATTAAACATTCAAACATTTGTTGCAACGACCACACATTTACTTATAGAATAGGCAAACATAAATAAATAAAAATTCTTACAGCGAGTCCAGACCAAATTGGGCTTCCAGTTGAAATAGGAAAACTGTCAACATCTCGCCCAACCACCGCAATAACTATTCCAACTGTTATGGATAAGATACTGCAGTTTAGTAAAACCCATCCTATTATCTTATACTGTTCCAATGCACGAACTCTTCTGTATTTTAATCGTGCTAAAAAGTAAAATTATAAACAAAAATGACGATGTCAGTCAACTGAAAGATCGATCAAATTTATGAATCAAAATATTGTTGCGTTGAAATCGTTTTGCATACTTCAGAAGAACTAACAGTGTAACCTGTAAGCCAATCATGACAACGGAATATTTATTTCCATCAGATTTTAACTTGTCCGTACGTGCTGAATATTTCAAGGAAATGATTACGACAATTTTTTTTCATTCTGGTGTTTTCAGAACTGCTCAAACAAATACCAGTCTATGAAAAGTGCGAATCGAGAAAACCGTTTCTTATGTGGGGTCGCGATATGTTCTAATATGAAATTGTAAATATGCAGACACTCCATGAGGAAAAAGATGCTTTTTGCAATATTTTTTTTTAATAATAAAATATATAAATACTTTCAGTCCGAAATTAATTCACGCAACACACAGTAGATTTTTATGTATTACCATTAGTCAATAGAGTGTGAAATCGATTATTATCAGCCTTTCGAGGTCGTTTTAAAGAAAAAAGTTAAATGGGCCAGTTAAACAAGCAACAAGGTACGATTTCTTTATGGACATATAAACTATTAACCTATCATTCAAATATAAACGAAAATTAATAAGTCTTGAAATATGCTCAATATCAAAGTAAAAACAAAAGTTAATGTCTTGTAAAAACTGTACTGCTTCGTTTTTCTTTTGTAAATAAACAATTAAATGCTATTTATTTTTATTGTAGATGCGATAGTTTTTTAATGTAGTTGCAGTATGTTTTTATTGTCACTATACGTTTCGTGTTATATGAGGTAGCAGTCTTAGCCCACTGCTTACTGTCAAAATGATCTTTTGAGACATCTTTTGAAATTCTTGATTATTCTTCAAACATACTTGTATTAGATAAAAGTTATATGTCAGATGTTTTTCACTTGTTCCCTTGATTAATAGCGTTTGCTTTTGTCAGGTTTTATGGACTTTTCCTTTTTAAATTTTCCTTGGAGTTCGATATTTTGTTATTTTTTTTATAGGTGAAGAATAAATTCAAGTCATGTTGTATAGACCGACCCGAATTTTCGTTCAAATTGGTGGCATCGACATAACATCTATTAAATTTCTTTATGAATACGTCAAAAATGCATTTCCGATATCCTTACTACATGTAAACTATATAAATGGTGTTTAACTTCTAAACACAATTCTAAATACATGCACATTGTTTGCGCACTTTTTTCAACATATTCAATTTCGTTATATGTTTAGATTGAAGAAAGTGTTTAGGATTGTGTTTAGGATCATGTTTAGATTAGAAATTAGTGTTTAAGTCCTTAAAACTTTTAATTCTTAAACACATTTAAAAGTGTTTATATTCAAGATATGTGTTAACTTAGAAATATGTTTAGATAATATCATAATTCTAAACACGAGTTTTCAGGCATGTCAAATAGATGATAGCTGGAAAATGAAACTTACTTTAAGTAATGGAAAAGAAAGACGATTCCCAGTTAACAACTACAAAATTATGTTCATACTCTCCACATTTTAACCTATCGAATGCAGTTCTTTTTAATCTTTACGCATAGTTCGATAAAATTGCAATCACATTACATCAAATATAGATTTTCCAGATATAAGAGGGCAAAAAAATGATAGTATAGATACTTTTTGTCTCGCCTCTACGAAGTAATGGAGGCGTGCTGTTTCCGGTAGCGTCGGTGGTGTCAACCTTTATTTCTAATTTGACTGTGATAAGGTAAATTTTTAAAAAGGGGACCAATAACGATAAGTCAATGGATATTTGGTATGTATTTGTATTAACATTGACATATTTGTATGGAGATAATAAGGCCCCTTCCCTGAACTATGGTTCATTTACTGTGAAAGTTTTGCATCGCTTATAAAGTCAAGAATATGACAGTTGTTTCCATTCGTTTGATGTGTTTGAGCTCTTGATTTTGCCATGTGATAAGGGACTTTCCGTTTTGAATTTTCCTTGGAGTTCTGTATTTTTGTTATTTTACTTTTTACAGTTATAGTTTTTGATTAGGTCAGTTTAAGGAGAGCCATTGACAATATGTCAACGATATTTGGTATGCAGTTGTAACAGCATTATTATATCTCTTTTCTAATGAGATTTTTTGGCCCTGCGACTTCAGTCATGTTTCATGGACTTCGAAAGTTTTGCATAATAAATGCATGATAAGTATTTTCCTTTTAATTTAACTATTAAAATTACATATAAACATGACAGATGATACATATATCTGTGTCAACAATTTATTATTCTAGACTGACACTAGCCAGATTTTTTTTCTGCAGAAGTTGGAAAGTGGTAATACTGTACAATATTGATTTGTAGACCCAAAATTGATAAGCCGCGCAGGGGATATTGAACAAAGTGTTTACTCCTTTATAAGCGTATAATTGGTTTATTATGTACGTACATCATTGATACGATATTCCAGTGATATTTTGCCTGTACCATCGAACCTGTCATAAATAAGTGTCAATGTTTCTACTTGTTTAATGTATTGTGCTATATCATCGCATTTTTTTCATATGAAAAAAGTATCGCATTTCTATTAGAAAAATCTCGCATTCGAAAAGTTTTTCATAATAATAGCATATCGCTATTCTATTAGATGAACGTCGCATTCATATAAGAAAAAATAGCATTTGTATCCTATTACAAGTGATTATGGCGTACAATGCAATCGAATAAGTTCAATGGCCATTCCGTTGTATTTGGACACCTTAAAATTATAGATCTTGTAAATAGGTTTTATTAAAAGCAAATGCATATTTCCTCGTATAGATACAACATACTTGGGTTAAAATGTTCAAAATATATGGCAATTGTTGTATATACGTTTGTCCTGTTAAAAACGTCTGTGTTTTAAAAAAGAATTAACATTTACTTTCCGATGACATTTGTTTTATTCCTACAAATGTCAACATTCGTCTGAGAAAAAATCCCCAAAATGGACAATAGTTTCATCGAAAAGAGAAAGTCGAGTACACCTTTATATGTTCAGGCGTGTTTGAGTTGACTATTCTGTCTTGAAAACGTATAAAACATTAAATATTTGATACACCATCTCGCTTCAGATTCTATTGTTTTTATATATTTAGGCTAATAACATTAAAAACTTACAGTACTAAGAAGATACAACTGGCATATAAGGATCGTAATGATGCTATGTGGATCAACTGATCGGGTTTCAAGAGCTAAATTGACAGCGCGTCATCACTAAAACTGTAAAATGGCTTCCATTTTTACGATTATAAAAACAGGGTGGCGTAATGGGGAGATAATTTTGACAAAGTAGAATCCTGACTGAGTCGTATCAAAGATGTCACTTTAAACAACCAATAATGTTATATACATCCACATCATTTGGACTCTGGGGAATAGTTCTCTCAACAGTTTACCAAACCAAATGAAATAAAGATAAGTAATACACTTAAATCTTTTTAAGCAAAATGTTACATTTTTTTCATGAAGAAGGCAGATTAATCTGTTTTTTCATTAATATCTATGTAAAACTGTATATTGCTTATATATCATTATAATATTGTATGTACTTTATGTATATGTTATTATTATTTTGAGGATTCTCAGGAAGATTAGTTTAAACGAATGGGATTATCCTCTTGAAATATTATATATCTATTTCATTTATTTATTTCATTGGCAATCATACCACATCTCTTTATATTTTTACTTATAGTTTAACCCAGTTTTGAAATAGTAGTTTTTAATCCTAATTTATTCCGTTCTCTTCATGATTTTATTCATTTGAATCTTTAGGTCTAGTGATGCGTTTGAAAGAATCTTTTTATCTATAAATGTCATGACGACAAAATGGGAAGTGTATCGATCACAATATTGATTTTTATAATTAGCAGAGAAAAAGAATGAATCACTGTTTCTGTTTATTTCTGTACAAGTAAAGCGATACCTGTTTGGGTTGTTGTTATGTAACATGCACTTTATTTATTAAGAAATTTCTACATGAACAAGTTTATTTATCTTTGTTAAATATACTACATTTTATAGGCACATCCGTCTTTTTATAAAATACTAATAACAAACGGGATAACAGAAAAAGAATTGTACTTTTAGATCAGAAATCTGCAAAAAAACTTTCATTTAGTCACTTTGGTTCGTTACCAAAAGAAATGCAACCTAATGTTCATATGCACAAATGCACTTATACTATTAATTTTTCAATTTCCAGTAGTCAACATAACTTGCCATATCAATAGATGAAAAAATACCTTTTCATTTTAAAAAAAATTTACATTGACGAAGGCCATTTGCTTTGCTCTCAGGTTATGCTGAATTGATCAGAACATACGAGTCATCTCCTCTCTAAATATTTGTTGGGATTTTTAGTGATATGGGCAACATATTCTAAACTTAAGTTACAACCACTAAATTACAGGCTCCTGACAGAAATTCGGTACACATTAAAATATGCTCTTCAGTTTTTTTTGTATACTTTAAAACAATAAAAAGGAAGAAAAAAAAAGAGAAGAAAGTGATGTATAATCTCTCTAAAACCCAATTTAAGTCTTTAGATTGCTTTTTCTTAATTTTCCAGATATGTACCATTTTTGCTACAGATCTTTTCCCTTTGTTATTAAAAGTCTGAAAACAAGGGTTGAATGGTACAATGAGCTGTATCTGAACTTTTAACTATAATTGATACAGAAAATATTTTAATACATTATCCTATTTAGACAGAATATTTATTGGTATGTATAAATTTTTTGATATCGACCTTTTGAGTCTGAAATAAACATTACCTTATTTTATCTTTTCTTGAAATAAATAACATTAAATACACCTTCTCAGAGAAGGATTAAAAATGTTTTTAAAACAAAGATAATTATAAATACCGTGTTCTTCGTAAGTCACGTCAATTTGCCTGTGCTGACCCATCTTTAAGCAAAAGAAATTTCACATAGCAACAATGAGATCCTTAAGCCTCGTTCAAAACTTTACTTAAAAGTACGTTTCCTGGGGTGCGATGTATTTGCTGCATGAAATGACGACTTTTATGACTGATATGGTGTGATGAATGAAGCAAACCGGATCAATTGCTAGGTGTTATACATGTTTTCAGGTGTCAATAAATGTGCTTTATAGGTAAATTGAATCTTTAATATTGCGTATCGAATAGAAAAAAAAATCATATCGTGTAATAAAAAAAATGAATTTCATGAATATAAACACTGTCATTGTTCTTAAATCTATTAAACCTTATCGTTTTAAGTTTAGTATATTAGTCGCATGGGGAAGTTTGTAAAAACTTGTGTTTGTGTTTTAAAATTGACTTGAATCAAAATAGGTTAATATAGATTGTAATGATAGGTATCTCAGTTTAATATGTTAACAGAAGAAGGGTTGTAAAAATCATCCAATGTATAGCTCAGTTATTAAAAAAAAAAACACACACAAAATGTAGCTTTGCTCGAAGATGCCCACATTTTTATATTTTCGTTTATATTTTGACAAATTGTAACCCTTATAGTCATGCTACATTGAAACTTTGCCCTGTAACTTAATTATACCTTAAATGTATTTTGAAACCAATAATACTTCTCAAATCTTCTGACAAAATAATTTTACACTCTTGCTATTTATTCTTCTTTTCTAAAAATCATTAAACATTCATATATATATATATATATAAACATATCAGTGACGATCCTTTTCCCGCCTTGCGTTTTATATGAATAGTCCCACGACGATCTTTTCCCCGCCAAACATTTTAGTTTTTAAAAGATTTGCATTTCGAAAACAAGCAATAAAAACACTTAGAAAGCGTTTTACTATTTTGAAGTAAATTTAATACTGATGTAAATCATCTGAGATCATTTTTGAATTGTAAACACTAGTTCATACTGTAAAGGCTATTTGATGTTCTACTGGTCACATTCGTATTTGCAGAAAACATGCTTATTATCACATATTGATTTTTTCCACATCTGCAGTTTTCTACAATCATTTGTACGACTATTAACTGCACAAGAAATGCCTCCACCTTTGTTATAACTTTCGGCAGTATCCATAGTAAAATAAATCAGAAAATGAAAGAAATACAAATGTAAACAGAAAATCGATAATGTTTCGATCAATACACGTGTTATTTTTCACGGTTGTAATGGCTGATCGGTCACATGAGAGGTTAATGGATGCGCCCATGTTTTCTAGGTCAATTATAGATAAATTAACCCGTCTATACAGTAGTTTAAAACTAGTTTAATAATATGAAAGTAATAAGTTCGATATTTTCATCGGCCATTTCATTCAATATACACTGTAAATTTTTTTATCTGCACTCTCCAACTCGTTCAGAGCAGTAATATTTATAGCAGCAAACAATGAATGCAATACGGTGTAAGCATGCAATAAGTAAAATAACAAAAATACCGAACTCCAAGAAAAATTCAAAACGGAAAGTCCCTTATCAAATAGCAAAATCAAAAGCTCAAACACATCAAACGAATGGAAAACAACTGTCATATTCCTGACTTGGTACAGGCATTTCCATATGTAGAAAATGGTGGATTAAACAAAGGGTGCAAAGGGTACTACTTTTTAAATTATATTTTGAATACTCGAAAAGCATGTTGACAGTTATCATATGTTTCTTCGTATCTTTTGAGAGAAACTATATAAATTACAATAGTTCTGGGGTTAAAAAATGTGGAGATATACAGTGGCGGATCCAGAACTTTTCATAAGGGGGGGGGGAGGGGGGGGGGGGGCGCTGACTGACCTAAGGGGGGGCCCGCTCCGGTCATGCTTCAGTGATTCCCTATATAATCAACCAAATTTTTCCCACGAAAGGGGGGGGCGGGGGCGGGCCCCCCAGGGCCCCCTGGATCCGCCTATGATATAAAAGACCCAGACATGACCAATTGTAAAACAATTCAAAGGAGCAAACCAATTGCCTGATTGTTACAAATCAATAAACGAAATACTATTATGAATTATGATAGACAGCGACCAACTAAAGGCTCCTGACATTGGGGCAGGCACATTTAGAATGTGCGGGATCAAACATGTTTGCGATCGCTCAAGCATCCCCTTACCTTGGACAGTGGTGTAAAAATACAACAGAAGAACACACTGTAAAAATCAGTTGAAAATGCTGGATTCATCGGAATTGTTTCTCGTTTGAATTTAGTTTTAGTTTTACAGATTCTGATAAATATGGAGAAGACTTATCAGGATGTCGTAGAGGGAACTGGGGAGAACATACGCTAGCAGACACAAACGTATAAAGGTCGATCAGACGTCGACACAGCCGGCGACAGCTAGCCAGGCCACACAATAAAGGCATAGGAGGTAAAGAAGTAAAAACGAAGCACTAAATGAAGATGAAACGGTGGTACATAAATTCATCATAGATGCCAGGATTACAATTTTGTACGCCAGACGCGCGTTTCGTCTACAAAAGACTCATCTGTGATATTCGAATAAAAAAAAATAAAAACGACAAATAAAGTACGAATATCAGAGAGCACAGTCAACACATAAACTTCCAAAAGACCAACTAAGAAGAGTCGGAAGTTCTGTAGCAGAACAACACGTTTCTGAACTTTCGACAAGATTTGCCTCTTTCGAGTATTTTCGAAAGGAGTATTGCTGGGAGAATATATAGCCTACTCCTTTATCACACATAACTGTTGGATTTTATCAATCGCACTATACTGCAAGTCCCTATCTGTTTTCTATTAACTTTCGATTCAAAACGACACAGCACATATATTTTTCAAAAATAATTAACAATAAAGAAAATGCTAGAGGGAAGGAAAAGATTATAAACTAGAGAAAAGATACAAGATTGTCCATTAAGAAGAGATATGAAATAGTATAACAAACACGATATTGTCAGGCTGTTCTTTTTATTTTGAAGAAATATTATTTTCCACAGCTGTCATATTCGGATTCCATGGTTTGCTGCGAGTTGTAGAAATTGCACTGAGCGAACCATAACAGAAACATCAAGTTATTACCATAAACGATATAAAAATCGCGCAAGGAAACATAATGGATAAATTAGAGCTGAATGTTACCTTTTCTATATGGGAAAGGTATCTCAATCGAAATCGTAGAGACCAAAAACAACATATGTTCGGTGCTGTATCTTCAAAATAACATAACTCAGCGGCCTAATACTATGGGTCTGCTTCATTGTAATTCTGTGGGAGTTGAATCATCTTTCAATATTAGGGCAGCTACCAGTCATTGTGCGAAAGGGGCAACACAACATGGAATTAAAAAAATTAGGGCAATGGAAATCAGAGGCCTTTATGCAATACATTAGTTAATTAAACATTATTTATGACAATAAAATAAAATTAATTTATTATAGTGAGGAGTTCTTCGATTTGATCATTTGTCACATACAGCTGTATTTTGTCCTTAATGCTATTTTACTTTTATAATATATAATATGAACAAAAGTCAAGTTTGGGTATTAAGATCCTCCAAAGTTAAGCGTGCTTTCGTACATGCAAGGAACACATTTGATATGGGTATGCAACGCCGTAATGTAAAGGTATGGTGGCAAGGAAAAAGGGGTATGAAATTGGAGGAATAACTCATTGGATTTGGATTTCTGTTAAATCATGAATCTCCACCTGAAGTCTTAGTTGTTCAATGTAGCTGTAATAACAATGACTATTGTTGAATAAACTAACATATCAATTCAATGTATCTATTCATGAAATTAATAAAATTTTACCCCATACAAATACAGATTCTTTCAAAACTAGGTTTGAGACACAACACTCGCAATAAAACGATGAACTTAGCTGCATGTAAGATTAACTGTTATGTAGGAAATATTCCGAAATATCTTGGAAAGTACCAGGTACGTTCGACTCAGATGGCGTACATTTGTCATCTCTAGAAAATGATATCTTGCTTTATCATCTACTAGATACCTTTTGGAGTATGATACAAACTATATGAACATTAATCAGCAACACAGGAGACAGTGGAAAAATAGCGAATGTATTGTATGCCCACGCATAAGTGTCCCTTCCTTTATTTGTTGGCGGTGGTCGCCAACGGCAAACATCTTTTACCGTTAGCGGCTACATTTTTTACCCCAGGAATAGATTACCTTAGCCGTATTTGGCACAACTTTTTGGAATTTTGGGTCCTCAATGCTCTTCAGCTTTGTACTTGTTTGGCTTTATAACTATTTTGATCTGAGCGTCACTGATGAGTCTTATGTAGACGAAACGCGAGCCTGGCGTATTAAATTATAATCCTGGTACCTTTGATAACTATTTACGTAAAGTTTACAACACAAGACATACACTTGAATCATTGTGTCACGTTACTTGTTAAAAAAACTACTTTATTTTTCGGTGCTGAGCTTATGATCCCAGGGCCAATATCCGATTAATATATTTTGATGTATTGGAAATATGTATGATAGATAATCATGCTTGTAATGTAAAGTTTGATAGTGTTTGACGTTTCACAATTTATGATAATGTGAAGGAAAAGGATAAAGATAATGATAAATAATGATAAGGATCACGATTTATGTTTAAAGTAAGAGTTTTGCCATTTACATTTTGCTCGGCAGCCCACCAATTATTTTTGTGGTTGTAAAGTCGCTAAATTAAATTGTGTATGTTTTGTAAAAAGGTAAATAAAAATAACGAATGCCAAGGCAAATTCAAAAAGGGGAGGTCAATAAAAACTGAAAAAATCAGACTTCATCAACCAACGGAAAGAATGGAACACAACTGTCATATTCCTTACTTGGTACAGGCATTTCCCGAATGAAATGGTGGGTCAAACCTGGTTTTATAGCTCGGTAAACATCTCACGTGCATGACAGTTGTTAATAGTTACGTTATATCGAAAAAATAAGACGAGCAACCCAGACATAAATTAATATCCAGCAGCCGAAACTGTATAAACATACATCACATACATACAATATAACGGACTAAAAATTCAAACAAACATACACATAAATAATTAACAAAGACGTAAACATTATTGATGTGTTATCAGCCAAGTGTATCTTAGATAATTAGTAAGAGTTATTTCCCATGGACTTTGAAAAGAATGTAAAATTAATACTGAACATATA